TGTATAAGACTTGAATTTTTTATATCAAATACATAATCAATAGCTTGTCGAGAATTTATTTGATTATTATTATTATTATTATTATTATTAGCATTTTCTGTTGATTGTCGTCGTTCAGTTGTACATATATTTGCTGCTCGTATTGATATAAGATCAAGATAATCATGTATACGAATATCAGATGGCATTAAATTAAGAAGATTTCTTATACGTTTATGAATATTTTTATTATTTAAATATGATAATTTATAAAGTATATCATAGATTTTTGAATTATCTGCCATCATATTTGATGGTGTTAAACGTGTTATATCATCATTTGTATTCATATTGTTATTATTAGATGTTAATGTTAACATGGATGAATTATTTAATTTAATACGTATTGGTTCACTATTATTTGGTTTTATTGGTTGATTATATGTACTACCTAAAATTTTTATATAAATTGTTGTACCAGGTGTTATATGAAGTTGATATAGATATTTTGAATTCAATGATGAACTAAGAACATTACTATTTGATTGATTATTAGATGAAGATGATAATGGAACAGTATTATTATTATTATTTGTACCTACATGATCATATGATTGTGTTAATGGACGAGTATTTTGTATTGATATATGTATATCGTGTGACGATACTTTATAAAATTGTCCAAGACATATACGTAACATTTGAAGTGTATCATTTGAATGAACAGTTACTATATCATATGAAGAATTTGTTTTACCTATTTCACCAAGAATTATTTTTATTTGATATTCTAAACCATAAAATGATGTTATATGTGCTGTTGGTGAATATTCATTTTCAACAATATGTATATATTCTTCTATTATCAATAAAAGCCGTTCGATTTTTTGTAACCATAATGTATGATTAGTTTCAATTGATGTCGATGTATGACATGCTGTTGTTGTTGTTGTTGTTGTTATTGTTGTTGTTAATTGTTCACCATAGGTCTTTAAAGATTTATAAAATGATTCAATTTCTTTTGTTAATGATGTTGATGGTGGTACAGCTGTAATAAGTAAATAACTTAAACGTTTATAAACTTCTTTAAGAAAATGTCCATGTAGTAATTGTGGCGTTAAACGACGTGTACGATTCGGTTGTTTTAAATAATATAAATCAAGTAAAAAACGTGTTGCATCATTAGCTATTTCATCATCACCAACACATAAGATTATATTCCATAATTCATCTACACCACGATATTCTAACATTTCATTCTATTTAAAAAATGAAAGATATTTTATATTTGCAAGATAGTAGTATGAATTTGTTCTTTTTTTTTGCTCTCTTTCTATAAAAATGTACTATTCATCATTCGTATATTAATAATTGATATCACAATTGTAGTTAAGCAGCACAGAAAAAAAAATAATCGTCTGATATAACCTATAGCACGAAAGTCTTAACACAAAATATTCACTCATTTTTCAGCTACAGTTAGTCAGAATCAGATGTTTTCACTCGTTTCAAATAGGTGTTCAGAATTTCCTTCTAATGTAAGATTGGACAACTAACATCAGATCTTTACAACAAATCGAAAATCGTAGTTGTATAGAATACTGTTTTGATTGATTTTGTATTTAGATTGAAATCTGTTAAACTTAAAATGCGAAACAGTTTTTTTAATGCACACTAAAATAAAATGTGTTACAGACTCTACCGTAGAGTTCGTCGGATCCAAAATTTCTGAACTTGAACCCGGTTTATTGAACATTTTTGATACGCGGGCCTAGTTGATCGAACTTTTTCGGACACAGACCCGATCGAACCGTACTTTCATACTCTCAATGAAATTTTCTAATAGAAATTAGATATCCGAAGAGGTGAGATACTTTTTCCGGTTCTTTGTATTTGATGATTAGCGCATCCTACACACTTCTCAGACAACTAGAGCTCATCGGGTCCAACCCAGACGCGAACAGATCCGAGTCCAGAACTTTTTGGACTCAATGAGATCTTCCCGCAAAAGATTAATCAATCAGGTTCAAATCCAAAATTTTGATGGACCGGGTCCGTTAACGAAAAAATCTCAGATTTGGACTTCAGACCAACCTGACGGGTTCCACTGTACCGCAAAAATGTGTCGCGGTTTGTCTGCTAACTGTTTATTACTTGTTTCGTTTTGTGAATACAGCTAGATATAACCAATTTCATTCAACACATTGAACTTATATATTTTCGTATGTCTTTTTTTCCAGATTATTTCTCGATTAATTATTGGACAAGCACATGCTGAGAGATCAAGCAAATTCGAGATGGCTAGATCTGAAGATCTGACTGCATTGAACTTTAAGAATGAGTATCACTAATTCGAATTAAATTGAAAAATATTAATTATTTGTTTCTACAGAAAAAAATGAAAAATGCGCCAGTGACTGGATTCGAATCACATTTCCAAGATGTGTCGCAAAGTATGACAAATGCAACACATTTTATTTTGATGTATGATTCAGTTTTGTAGAGCAAAGTTTGCTTTACTAAGTGTGTTATTTACTTTTCTGTTTTATCATGCATAACAGACGTGTTTTTCAAACAGCGATTTTACTGTCCATGCCAATTTCCATAGAAACTAACTCTTTTGTGGAAACGCATAAATGAAATTTCGCTTATTGTAATGTTTCATTTTGTACAGAACTCAGTGTTCTACAATAGTGCTAAGTGGGAGTGATTCTAAGACACAAATCAAGGACTGCATCATAGACACTAGTTTACTATGTACAAACAAAATTTTAAACTTTTTCACAAAATGCACTGATGGTGGTTCAATCTTATCTCAGAAGGACGATCATTTGAACATATATTTGGAAATAGCAAAAAATTCTGATTCTAATCAGTTATCTTTTTTAGTGGTCTAAAAAAATGAATGAGTATTCTGTGCCAACGCTTTCGTACTCTAGTGTAATTTTTATTAGCTTACATAAGCTGATGTAGATACATTTGTATGACAAGTAAAATTTCTTGATTGACTGGATCGTTCTGAATTACATCGTTCAAAATATAATTTAAAACATGCATAACCTAAATTTTTTTTTCGACAAAAAAAAAACATTTTTCTTCTTATCTTTTATTGTAACTTAATAAAATTTTATTTTTAACCTTTAGATGTTAAATGTATTGGATTTAATTTTGATACACGTTTTTCAAATAAAGCTATTTGAGATTCACGATTAAGATCTTCTGAACATGTTATAAACCAATTTAAACCAAGTTCATGATCAAATAAACTAACATGTTCACTTGTTATTAATGTATCCCATAATTCTTCACTACGTTTTAATATTAAATAAAGATTACCTTTTTTTAATAAAAATGATAATAAATCTAAATGATTTTTAATTGATTCTTCATGTGTAAAACGACCATCAACTAATGTATCAATAGTAACATGTCCATGTGTTTTATTCCAAACATTTAATTGACATGTTGATAAACTTTGTATTAATGCTGATATTAAATCATGTTTATGAACTAATAATGATATAAGATCTTCATCTGTACGTTTAAATGTATTTGTTGAATCATGATGTAATAAATCATATAAATGTTTTATAGCTGGTACAAGCCAACCTTGTTTACGTTGTAAATCTGACATACATTTAAGACAATAATCACGTTTAAGTGCATCATATGGTGAACGACCTTCACTAAATATACGTAAATGATAATGAAGTATATGATCAAGCATTGATCGACTAAGACGATCAGAATGTGCCAAATCCCAAAGAATTTCTAAAACACGAACAGCCGAATCTTTTTGACATTCTCGTCCAATAGTGCCAAGTAATTCAATAAGTTTCTCTTGTATAAGAATTGTTTCTGTTTTCCAAGACTTTTAATAATAAATTAAAAATATCTATATTCAAAAAAGAAATTGAAGAATTTAACTTACATTACAAATAAATTCAATAAGATAGTTAAGTTGTTGTAAATTAAATTTTGCAGCTGCCGATGCTATTAAAGTAAATAAATGATCAACAGCAACTAATGAACGTCCATGCTAAAATATAAAAACTTTTTTTCTAAGTAAAAGAGGTTTATCAATGAACATCTCCAAATTATGAACGAGTCTCGAGTCTAACAGAGAGAAATTTGTTGGAAATATCTCATCCTAGTGTCAACACTTCCTTATTCTTAATAGGGAACATTTTTTTGCAATCCGCCTTGTCATTATAATCTCTGTAATTTGAATACATGTGCAATATTTTTTGATCTCATTTTACTGTCTATCACCAATCTCGTATGTATTAAGACTAAGTATGCTTAATCTATTAATCCATTATTGTACGTATGAAGAAAATAATGACATCACGACACAAGCTTAGATTATAAGTAAAAAATGGAATTTATTATTGGATTAGAATCAAAACTCATTGATATCGATATTAATTGGAAAACAAAAACATGAAATCTTGTGTTGTAATTGAAAAATCTTTTAATTGAAATTATTGAGATGAAAATAGATGAATAAAAGAATAAATTATTAGGTCTCTAGATGCAGATATCCTGAAAGATTTTCTTCAATGTTATGATGCATCAATAAATACTTTAGTATAGTAAACATTTTTCAATGTGTGTTCTTTTAAGAATTGTCAATCTTCATTTACGTTGTTTATAAATTCACTAGGCTTTCGCATATACATAAAAACTAATGTTAATTTCAATCATGAGTCAAACTCCATGGCTCATTAGAAATCTCAAGTAGTTTTGCTTTCGCTGACTTTTGTTGTTCGATTTTTCATGAAAGACAAGTAGATTTTCATCAATCTATTCTTCAAATATAAGCGTCGATACTTACAAAGGTACCTCTTCAAATGTTTCCTTCTGATTTCAATGATTTTTTTTGCTAATACATACTCCAATTTCCAAGAGATCTCAATAGAAAACCAAAGGCTTTTAGAATTTTTACTGGAACACTGTCGTATCAATCATGCGAAAAAAAAACATTGAAATCAAAATGCAATATCTGAAGAGATAGCCTCATTTGGAAACTATTGAACCATATCTATCTCTAGAAACATATCCCACATCTTGAGGAAAACAGAGATAAAATATTCGTAATAACTAACTGTAGATCTGAATTTTTAAAATACCTGCATTTTCCATATAGTTTCAATATCTTGTTTGGAAATTTTTGGTGCAATAAAATCCATTAATGTTCGAACTTTTTCAACATATTGATTTTGATCAATATTTCCTGTTGATATTTAAATTAAAAAAAAACAAATAAATAAATAAAATTAAAATGTAGATATTTTGTTTGTATTTTACCTTCAAGTGCTTTAGAAAGTATAGAATTTTCAATAATCCATTCACTAATAACATCACGTCGAATAGATGCTTTAGTCATACTTGGTATATTCGATGTTGCATTTTCAATTATTTTTGCTAACTAAAATAAATATTTATATATATATTATTTTGTTTTTGCTTAATTTACTTCTTTTAATGAATTCATTTTAGCATTAAAATTCGATAATGCAATCATTTTAAGTAATAAATTAAGATGTAATTGTTCTATTTGTTCAATACGATTAGGCCATACAGCTGAACATATTTTACGTAATGTTGATAATAATTCAAATACTGAATTTGTTGACTAAAATTTATAGAAACAAAAAAAAATTTCCTTTTTTTTTTACTCTCTCTAAAACAAACTTTAGCTTTAAAATCTTGTTCTTTCAAATTTTTAATATAATCTAATGCTTGTTCAATATGTTCACTAAATAATTGTCGATATTTATCAATGAATATATAATCCATACAATTAATAAATGTTGAAAGTAAAGCATTATATTCCTAAAAATAATGAATGATCAAAAAGATTGAGCAAAAAAATTTCTAAGACCATATTCAAAAATTTTTTTTTTCTATTCCTTACAAGAGCTGTTAATTGTTTTTTATTTTGAAATTGTGCTTTTAAATTTATAATACCATCTTTTAATATGAAACGATTTATTATTTGACATAACCAACCATATGTTTCATTTCGATTATAAACAGAAAATGTTGATGTTGATGGTGGATTAGCTAATATACGATCATCTAATTGTTTATCATATAATGAACGATCATATGGTTTTGTTTTATTTTTTCGTTGAAAAACTGAATCATAATCAAATACAATTGATAATGTTTCAAGTAATTTAACAGGTACTGGTGAATATGATAAACGTGCAGCAATTAAATCAATTAATAATTCAACCATTTCAAATACACCTGATTGAATTTCAAATCCCCAATTATTAACAGGATGAGAACATTGTAACTAAATAAAGAAGAACGAAACTAATGAAATAATGAAATCATACTTATACTTTTCGAAAAGCTTCAGGTACTAAATCTTCCATAAATTTTACACAATTTTTATCTTGATCAGCTATACCTGAACATAAATAATAAAATATCGAAGAAATATATGTTATGATTTTACCGGCAAGAGCAAGTTTCGTTGCTGATAGAAGACATTGACCAAGAGCTTCTTCACCTAGAAAAAAACTATTCGTTTTTTTTTTTTTATTGAATTTAATCTTGCACGTATATTTACGTGATAGCTCTTAATTAATTTTTAACTGACTTATGAATGTCTCTCATGATGCTGTATAGGTCTGTTTGAGAACATTGGTCATGAGCTAGCATTGCTTCTTATCTCCCTCTATTTCGTTTCTTTCCTTATAAGTCATTGCACGAGAGAAACTACCGAATCGTTAATAAGCTACGCAATCGAAGTTTGTACATTAGTTGTAAATTTAGTTAATCTCGTTTTATCTAGAAACTGAAACTTTTAGACATGTAAGAACTTTTTCATGTAGAGAAACAAACATTTTTCTTCGAGTCCTGTTGACCGATTACTACCGTTAATCCATTCAGAAAAAGTATTCATTTCTTGGAAATGATTCGTTCTATATGCGTAAAAATTTTATCATACATATATCCCAACATAGATCAGACAATTATACAATTAAAAAGGCTCTATTCCACTTTGCTCATATAGGTTGCTTTTTTTTTTGAAAAATTCTTTTCTAGAACTGAGACTCATAAATTTTGCTCAAACTTTTTTCCGAGAGAGTACTTATCTTTCTCTATCATATGGTGCAAAAAATATATCATGTGCTGATAGTTAGACTTTGTTTTTGTAGTAGTAAAAGTTCAATTTGTTTAGAAATAGCT